AACTGTGGCACAGTACTCTGAGAAGCTTAAAATAAAAAAAATGGAGAGGAGAAAGAGCAGAAGAAGAAAGGAAATGGCGAAAATGGTGAAGAGCAACTCGAATTTAAAGACAAAAAAGCATCTCGTTACATCTCGTTTCCCGTGCCACGGTGTCCGTTACCGTGTAACGGTAAATTATTGACATGGCGCACGTGTATTGGGCTGGTTAAAAACACCAGTTGAACAATTTGCAGCCACAAAAATTCCCGTGTCACGGTATGTTATTCCGCGTGACGGGGCCCACTGCCGTGTCACGGGAATTTTGCTTCGTGACATGGTGGTCTCGTGCGTGTCCTACACACTCCTTGAAGCTGTCATTGAATATTCCTGGTATTTTGACCAAAATTGCACGATTTTCCGCACAAATTGGACAGTTAGTTTTTCAGTAAAATTACGCGAAAAATTCTAACTTACATTTAAAGGGTATCAAATTACTATTTTGCCCCTAGCAAGCGTCAAAGTCAATTTGTCAACATTTTAAACACTTAATATGGTCAGATAGTCGACTTAAAGGTGTAAATTATCTGCGGCCCACGTTCGGGGATAATCGAACCATCATACACTTGCAAATTTTAGCGATTACATCAGTTGTCGGTTTTCCTCAAGCATGGAAAACGTTATCGGTGGATTTTTCTTCAAGTGTAGAAAACCGCCAAGTCGGCTTTCCTCAAGCCGCCAAGTCGGCTTTCCTCAAGCATGGAAAGCGTTATCGGTGGATTTTTCTTCAAGTATAGAAAATCGCCAAGTCGGCTTTCCTCAAGCATGGAAAGCATTATCGGTGGATTTTTCTTCAAGTATAGAAAACTGCTAAAGTCGGCTTTCCTCAAGCATGGAAGGCATTATCGAATTCTTCAAGCATAGAATGACACCAAATTCATACGTCGACTTTCCTCAGGCATGGAAAGTATCATCCGGTAGGTTTCTTCAGGCTTAGAAAGCTACCAAATTCCTCAATCGGCTTTCCTCGGGCATGGAAAGCGTTTCAACGAACGTCATCCGGTGGATTCCTTCAAGCATAGGAAGCTGCCAAACTCATTTGTCACCGACACGCTGGTGCCAGATACGTATTCTATCCTTTTAATCTTTTATCTGTGGAATTAACATTTTTCTGCAGATATCGGCGTATACAGAGTGATTTAGGATCGCAGAACGTCTTAAATCATTCTCCGTCCCTATCGGCTACTTTGACTATCGTTTTCGAAACTAACGTTTCTACAAACTCAGTCAAAGTGGGGGCTTCTGTAGACACCTAAAAATGTCTCCCCAAAACCAAACCCGATGATGAGCAACCTGTCACCGCCACTATTGGTCGGGTTCAGTATTTAATCCCGAGAGTGCTTAAAAAATCGTATTTAATTAAATTTAATTTTTGAATAGTCCATGGATCAGTCTTGATGTTTGGTTAAAGCATAGTTTTTAATTTCAGCCCAAACCTTTTTTTTTTTTTATCGTTTTATTATTTATTTTGGCCCAAACCTTTTATTTATTTTATTTACTTATTTTCGTTTTTTAGCCCAAATAATAATAAATTAGAAATGGCCCGGAATTATCAATCGGCACTTAAAATGTTGAACGAAATTAGAGTTAAAAATGAATTTAGACGGAAAACGGACTAAAAACTCCCGCGTCACGGCAATAGTCCATCGTGTCACGGGAAACTGTCTCGTCTGACGGTGCGGTTCCCCATGACATGGGGCACCTGCTGTGACACGGGGGTTTCCGTGTCCTTTCCGCGTAAACCCTTAACGCTTATTCTCCCCCGTTCACTAAATATTTCCTGCGTCACGCAACTGTACACTGTGTCACGGGAATATTTCCCGTTTGACGGTGGGAATTTCCGTGTCATGGTACACATTGCCGTGTCGCGGTATACTTTTTTAGGGTTTTTATCTTTTTAGGGTTCCGTGTGTTCCCTCAGCACATTTTTTCTCTAAATACCCCCTCATTTCTGATGTACGGGGCATCAATTAATTCTCTATTTTCTCTCCTCTATGCTCTAGCCTAAACACTTGCCTACCCTCCTTCTTTCAAAATTCCTTTTTCAAGCACTCCAAGGAGTCCGTAATTCAATCGTGTTTCTGTCCTTAAGCCAAGGCATGAAAGGTAGGACTGTTTGAGGGTTTGGCCCCAAATGAACTCTATTTTATTTAATTTAATCTAATTCTTGTTTTATTATTATTTCCTTGAAGTTACTAACTCGTTTATTATTTTATAATTACAAGCAAACAGAATCAAAGTAAGAATTATGTTCCTTTTATTTCTATTATTTTTCTAACGATTTTATATTGTTAGAATTATTGCTAAATTGCTTCCAATATTAATGTTTATTCTTTTATTATTATGATCACCATATTGCATGTTAAAGGGAAATGTAATTGAAAATCACGCCTAATAAGATAATTTGGACAACCGGTTTAGGTTCCTTTTTAATCTTGTTATTTAATTCAAGTGATCACTAATGTTTTAGAATTATGTGTTGCATTAATATTTAACTAATTCAGCTTAATAATAGTTTGGAGCGAATTGAATCTCTGTTTGTATGCCTTTGAGATCGCAGGAATCATTTTTCACTATACGAATCGAGTAGAGGCCAATACGGGCGAATGTGACTCCATGACTCACTTCGTACCATCATCCCCGATCCTCCTTTCGTGGTTCTGAACCATATGGAGTTAGTAATCTCATGGATTATGAATGGGGTGTAACCTTCACGGGCCAATTGTTGTTGCCTATCGTTGTCCCTTATTCGTGGTTGTCTTAAATGATCCGTGAACGGTTTATAATTTCCTTAAAAAATTGTTGGCGGCTCCCTACTTTCTCTGTCCCTAATCGTATTATGTCAATTCCCACTTCCTCTGAGTGCCAAGCATATTCACCACATGCTTTTAACGTAGGCGCACTTCGAGCGACGCCTACAAGTAGGCATATATATAAATAAAAGAGTAATTTTCATAAGTTTTAACCACCTAAGTAACCTTAATTAATCTCTATTTTTTTTTTACTTTGTGAGAATTAATCTCTAATTTCACACTAACTATATTTAAAATAAAAAAGTTCATATATAAAACCATTAATTTTCTGTTTTCCTTTGAAAATTTGATATCATATGCATTATTATGGGTACAATCAAGTACTCTTAAAGAAAATGAAAATTAAAATGACTTGAACGAACTCTGCTTATATATACACCTTCCGTGTTTTAATAAGTGCTACACTTACTAAATTCGATTGTGTTTTAATAAATGTTACACTTCCTTTTTTTTGGCAAAAAACTACATTAAAAAATTATATATCTATCATCTCATGGTCCCCACCAAAACCCACTACTACTTTTTTATTATTATTATATCTCTCTTTTCACATTCATTACTTATCAATAAACTATTTACCCCACTATCTTTCTTTTACAATTTTTTAATATTTCAATTACCCCACTTACCTGTTACTCCCTCCGTTTTTTATTTCTTACAACAAAGGAAGGTTACGCGGTTCCCAAGTCAAAACTTTTTAAGCTCACTTAATGAAAAACAAGGGCATGTAAATGATGTAATTAAGGAGGAGAGAAGATGAATAATTAATCCAACTAAAAAATCAATTAAACAACCAAAGTCCGGCACCACCACCGACGAACGCATGCCATCCACAATCATCACCCAGAACCACCAGTCCACCACCCACGAAACCATCAAAACCACCCCTCCACCCCTGCGAAACCACCAACACCACCAGATCTAGACCCACTGACACCACCAACATCAACTAAACCACTAGATTTAGACCCACGAAACCACCCAAACCCACGCCACCAAACCCACGAAACTACAAAAACCCCTCCTCCACCCCCGCGAAACCACCAAAACCACCAACACTACCACAACCACCAGATCTAGACCCATAAACCCACCCAAAAAAAACCACCGACACCACCAAACCCACGAAACCATCAACAAACCACCGAAACCACCAAATTCTCCCAACGAAACCATCGAACCCACCTAGCACAAACCACCGACGAGTCCACGACCCACCAAAAAGAAAAAACCACGAATCCTGACAAACCACCAAATCCACTAAGAACGATGAACCACCAAATGCGACACCACCGACTACCCACCAAAGCCACTAACAACCAGAAGAAAATCCGACGAACCACTGGTTTGATTATGACAGAAGAGTGTTGAAGAAGATGAAATGAGATATGGAGGAGAAAGAAAGATAATGGATTTGATTATTTGGGTGTGATTTCATGGATAATTAATTTAGATTAGGGTTATAATGGGTTGTAATTATGTGTAGCATTATGTGTTAAATTTTTTTAAGTAAGGGTATATTGGTCATTTTGATAGAAAAAAGTTTTCAAATAAGGAAAAAAATAAGCTTGTTGCAAGAAATGTGAACCACCCCAAAATGGCAAATGTTGCAAAAAATAAGAAACGAAGGGAGTATTTCATTTAAGTCAATTAAATTGCCTAAAATTATGTGCTGATCAAATTGTAACACTTATTAAAACACGGAGGGAGTACTAAATATTCAAGATATAATATATAGAATTATCTAAACACAGTTGTCAACAAGCTAAGTCATCATTAAAGAGAAGTTGCAATTATGGTTTCTTCATATCATCATCATATATACATATGTTAGCATGTTTCAATGATGTTCAATCCTAGTATATATTCATCACTTCACATACAATCATGCATCATGAAAGTATTTGCTACCTACTTAAAATTTTTAATCACTATAATCCTTACAAATTTGGTGGAAAGAAGTATAACATAGTGGTCTTAATGTAATATAAATTTAAAATATTTGCTAAAAAACAAGAAAAAGTCAAGCTAGTCATATATTTACCAATAAAATAATGGTTCACATGTGCCTTAGAGATATGTAGATAAGGATAGATTATTATTGAGCATACCTATAATAATCAACTTGTTTAGGCTGCGCTATAGTATTATTGTGTCAACTTGCCGGATGACCAATATCTAAATTATTACAAAAAATCAAAATTAGCATAGTTTGGTTGACTCATATGAGATATTCATTGATCAATTATACTTTTATATGTTAGGTGAGCTTCAATTATTATATATTAATCACTTGTATTGCATAAAATTAGAGGCGTATACAAATTTTCTAGAGTTTCAGGAGAAGAAAAAAGCAAGGAAGCAAAATGGAGTCAAGTGTAGACATCAATAATAATGGCAAAGGAGGGTGGCTCAGTTCCATGCTTATCCTAGGTTACTTTCTATTTATCCCTCTTCATTCTTCTTGTTTCGTTTAATAACATTTATATGTTTGTATATTCTAAAATCCCAAAGTATTATATTGATAGCATTGTCTCTTAGTTTTGTTGCAATGGGTTTGAGTCTCATTTCTTGTTTGTCACAGAGCGTGGTAACAAGTTTGAGTCTCATACCTCGTTCGCCTATCACAAGGCTTGGTCACTAGGGTTCCCTAGGTATCAAACTATATATATCACTAGCCTGCATACGCAGATGGTCTAATGGCGTCTATCAACCTTGCTATAAAAATATAAATTTGCCGATTATTATACTTCTTTCAGCCTCTATACTAATATTGCACCATTTACTTTTGATAGTGGTTACATATTCCGTCAATTTATGTCTTTAAGAAGTTTCACATATTTTATGTCTTACCCCTCTTAATTGAACATGTACATGTGAGCTACGACCCAGTAATAAACCTTAAACAAAATAAACAATTCATTCGATCTAAAAAAATACTACGTAATACTTTCTCTGTTCTTTTTTTATTGCACCATAAAGGGTTTCACGCTTTTCAATGCATTACTTTGGGATATTAATATCTTTAATTATACTTTTGTAAAAATTATAAAAAATTGATATTTGAAAAGTAGATTTTAAGACGAATCTAACTAGATCACACATGACTATGATTTTCCTAATAGATAAATCACAAAACATGGTCAAAGAAGATTAAGTGAATAGTGTAAAAGTCCTTATGGTGCAATAAAAGAAAATGAAGGAGGTATAAGGGCTTGTTCTCATTGACTGAACTCAACTGAAGTGAACTGAATTGAACTGAAATGAATATTTTATAAGAGAAGGAAATTAGGAGCTGAACTGAACTGAACTAAACTGAATTAAGCTGAACTGAACTGAACTGAACTAAACTAAACTAAACTAAACTGAATTGAATTTCAACGTAAGAGAGCAGACACTAAGTTTTGTCAAAAATGTTACAATGTTTATATTTAAGATCAAGGAACCAAATACAAGTATCTCCTTTTCGTACATTGTCATCACCCACTCATCTTTTGACTTCATTTTTCTTGCTTTTCCACCTTTTTCAAGTTTTCCTTTTTCTTATCTTAATTTCAATTTATGTGATCAGTTAATTTCTTTGTTCTATCATTTAGTTTCCATATCTAATTAAAAGGTTAGAATTAAACCAAGTAAGACTTAAACCACTTGGCAAGACTATAACCTTGATCAAATCTTGATAGTGAGAGATGGGTATGAATCTTGTCAAGTGAAAGTGAATGGGGTGAGAATTTCATTACCTTTTTCCCTAATCCTAAGTACCTACTACCTAGCCCGGGCCACATATACTGTATCAAAAAAATTGTGAGGATTAAAGTCTGATTATGACCGCCTTCTTCTAATCATAAAAATACTGGGATATAGTCCCTCCACCCTCAAAAGTCCAACCATTATGCCTAAGATTTAGTACAAAATGATCATCCCATTTGCATTAAAATATCCTCTAATATACAACAATATTAGTGTAAAATTAGCTTAAATTTTGTTTTTCATGTACTTTTTTTACTTTCTCACTCTACTTTTTTGCAAACCTCGTATAAATTTACTTTTTTCAATATGCTTCTACTCCCTCCGTTTTTAAATACTTGCTCCACTTTCCTTTTTCGGCCGTTTTTAAATAGTTGCTCCATTTTCTTATTTGGAAAGCTTTTACAATATTTAATTAATTTCTCTCACCTAGTGAAACCAATAAATATCATATTTAATTAATTTCATTTTCTCTCTCCTCCAATTTCTCCAATACTTTTGCTTTTTACAATTTTTTATTCTTCCACCAACCCCACTTACCTTCATATTTTATTACTTTTTCTAATTTCTCCTTAAACTCCGCGCATGGAGAAATAGAGCAAGTATTTAAAAATGGAGGGAGTACTACTCATTTAACTTTCTTAATTAATACCCGTGAAAATTACCTATATGGGTCAAAATTTTGGGGTTGAAGGGAGTGTATATTTGATCCAATCAATTTTTTTTTTTTTTTTTTTTTTTTTTTTTTTTTTTTTTGGAGGAAACCGATCATTTAATTAATTTAATAAATAGTTACTAGTCGTTTATGATATTTGTAGGAACAAGCTTCGGATTAAGCATAGCATCAGGTGCCTGGTATTCCAACTTAATAGTGCTCCTTATCAGTGTTTTCAATGTGAAGAACATCCCTGCTGCTCAGATTAACAACATCTTCAGTGCATTAATCAACTTTTTTCCATTCATCGCCGCCATCTTAGCGGATTCTGCTTTCGGATCCTTTTCCATCACCCTTATTTCGTCCATTGTTTCTTTACTCGTAAGTTTTTTGTCTTCCTTAACTACTCCCTACGTGTCGTAATAATCGCAATGATAGATAATGCACATAGTTTAAAAAAAATATAGAGCAGACTTATAGGCTTTTATAAATAATATAAACAGCATGAGAGAGAAATTAAATAATACAAAAGTTGTATAAGTAGGTAGATAAGACAGAGAAATAATTAAATATTTTTGAAAATGTGTTAGTAGAAGATATAATTATTAAAAAATAATAATAATAATGAGTCAATCAAATAAGAAAGTGTTGTAATTATTATAAAACGAAATTAAAATAAAAGTGTTACAATTATTACGAAACAAAGTGAGTATATTTGTTTTTAGGCCAAGAGATGCGACGACCTTTTTTTTTTGGTAAATGATGAACTAGATTAAAGAAACTTCAACAGAAACATAGAGTTTGCAGGGCTGAGCCCAAATACAACCAGCACCACCCTCATCTAGGGTGGGTTCAAAAGTGGTGCATGTGCACCCAAATCTGCAGAATCACTACCTGACATGACAAGTTTGCTACCAAATGATACAGTATTGTTACTACAAAATACATCAGAAGCTAAGTTAGGAGGTACAGTTTGCACACAGGCATCCAAAATGCTATCAAAGGTCCATTCATCCCTGGTTGAGGGTGTTAGATGCATCATAGCTTGCTTGGCCACCACATCTGCTTCCTTGACTTGATCCCTGGGCCCCTTGGATAGTTTTCCCCTTCCAATCTTTCCTAGCATGTCCCTGCAAAACAAGTAATGGCCTGGTTCCCCATTTCATCAAAGCCCTTGTGTATTTGATTGATACCATTAACTGCTCTTTGACAATACTAGTAACACTTCTCTTCTTTTAAAAAAAAAAATTTGCAACACTTTAACTAAAAATGTGAAAATAATTTCATGCGAGTTATGTTAATTTTCAGGGAGTCCTTATGTTTACCTTAATTGTTACAATCAAGTCCTTAAGGCCACCTTCGTGTGCAATCAACTCAACCTGTGTACCACCAAAAACCTCACAATACTCCATTCTATATGTATCTCTTACACTAGCATCACTCGGACTAGGAGGAACGCGTTACATACTAGCAACCATGGGAGCAGACCAACTCGATAAGCTTAAACATCAAGCAAGTTTCTTCAATTGGTTTGTGTGCGTCTTATATGTTGGTTGGATCGTAGGATACACCCTTCTAATTTATATTCAAACTAGTGTGAGTTGGGAACTTTCCTTCTTCATTGCTCTTGCTGCGAATTTGATTGCTGTTGCTCTCTTCTTACTTGGATCACAAATTTATCGAAAATTTGCACCTCAAGGAAGCCCTTTTACTAGCATAGCAAGGGTTTTGGTTGCTGCTTTTAGAAATTTGAAAATGATTAAACCTATAAATGGAGAAGATTGTTATCTTTATGAAAGTGAGGAATCAAAACTTACATATGGGGAGCCTAGTAAAAGTCTCAGGTATGCTTTTAACAACTTATGTTTACATGAACAATTGTCCATATACATGATTAATTAATCATCATATTATGTCACATATTTATTTCATTTTTTTTTTTTTTTACTTGCAACATTTTGAAGTTCACACTATTCATATACTTACCTCTGTTTTATTAGAACAGTTTCATATACTTAACTTTGACTAGTTCCAATTCGATGAATCATAGACATGTTATTAACTTTAATCTTACACGGTATGTTGAAGGTTTTTAAACAAAGCAGCGTTCATAAAACAAGGAGATAACCAAGTAAACGGAACTAAAACAAAATCATGGAGCCAATGCACCGTTGAAGAAGTAGAAGACCTAAAGAAGTTAATCAAAATTATGCCAATTTGGTCAAGTAGCATCCTACTAAGTGGTGCAATGGGAGTTATAATTAGTTTCACGGTGCTAATGGCATTAGTCATGGATAGACAACTCGGCTCTCATTTCAAAATTCCAGCCGGAACGTTCACGGTCGTCACCCTTGTATTCACAGCAATCACATCCTCAACACTTGATCGATTTATATACCCTACATACAAGAAATTAACTGGTCAATATTTGACATATTTACAAGGGATCGGAATTTGTCATGTTACAAACATTCTTGCCGCGATAGCCTTTGCCCTAATTGAAAGAAGACGGCTCAAATTGATTGAAATAAACAATTTGATGGACCAACAAAATGCCGTGGCACCATTATCCGCCTTATGGCTAATATTTCCATTAGCCATAATGGGGATTGGAGAAGGGTTTTACTTTTCGCCAGAGGTGGCATTGTACTATCAAGAGTTTCCTAAGTCGCTAAGAAGTACCTCGACTGCTATGATCTCATTGCATATCGCGGCTGGCTATTACCTTAGTTCAGCATTTATCGATTTGGTTGGCAAATTGAGCAATTGGTTACCAAATGATATAAACTTAGGTAGGGTTGATAATGCTTGTTGGGTTCTTGCAATTATAGCAACTGTGAATTTTGCTTACTTTCTTTTATGTGCCATATTGTACAAGTATAACAATCCTGATCCAGCATTAGATGATGCTAATCTTGTACATACTTAGCTAGTTGAGAAATAACTCACTCTATTATGTATAACATTTTTTTATTACAATCTCATTCTTATTTTAGAATCACAACAGGTAAGGGCAAGGATAAGGATAACAATAAATGACATTTGTTAAACCCGTAATTGTTAGACTTTAACACTTTCTTGTTTATATACTTCTTTTGCAAATATCAAAAGAAAGTTGGTTACTACATACTCTTTCATAATGTATTTCTACATTCAGTTTTTCATTTGCTAAAATCCACTCAAAACTAGTACTACCCCCGTTAACTTTTAGTTGCAATTTTGGAATATTATTTGTGAGATATAAAATATTTCAAAGTTATAAATAAAAGTTAACGGAAATAGTAGAGTTTATAGGGTGGAACATTATGGGGATGCTGTAATCTAATTTATGGTGATCTTGTACATGGTAGCAATCCTGCTTTTAGCTTCACAATGGCCCATATAGGCCCAATATCATTTAAGCCCAAAAAACTTTCCTACAACACAGAGTCTTTCCATGGAGCGGTGGAGCCCAACTCACAACACATCCCATCTCAGCTTCTCCTCCCTATAGCCCAATTTCTCTTTAAAAAAAATTTTTTTACTCCAAATTCTCTTTTTTTAAAAAAAATAAAATAAAATAAATAATAAATAAATTATCATAAGAGACATTATATTGAATATGAAAGGTCATAAGATTCTATTTTTCTCCAAGATATTTTGTCTTCATTGATCTCATCATATTAAACCATGCATCACGTGTGTATAATTTTAATGCTACATTATTCGTGTGTATAATTTTAATGCTATATTATTCAAGTTATGACTATGAGTTTGTTAGTTTGTTACTAATTTAATTGAATAGAAAAAAACGTTAGATTTGCTTGATTAATATTTCCTTTACAAAAAAAAAAAAAAAAAAAAAGCTTATACATATTAGTGTTGACCTTTTGATTTATTTGTGGTCAATGAATGATTATTTATCATAGCAATTTGATTGACGTTTTAATTTATTATTTTTTTTAATAAATTTGAACCTATATATCTTTTTGTTTTTTGTTGATCATATATTTCACTTGTTAAACAAAGGATCACATATTACATTTTGTTTATTTTCTATTGATAGTTTATTTTTATAATGTCAATATTTTTGTTTCTTAATGAGGGGCATGTTGTACACTTCATGTGGACTGTTGGAATACATGGTCCAGGTCAGCACAAGGAAGCAGAGTCAGCAAATACCAGCAGCAACATAATTGGAAGCACAGTCAGCTAGCTCCAGCTCAGCATAAGTTTGTTAGAGTTGTTAAAGTTTGTTAGAGTTTTTGTAACTAACTCTTGTATAAATACAAACGCTTTGCTGTCATTTCATCATTCAATTAATAATAAACTTCTCTTTCTTCTTTTACAAGCTTTTTCTCTCTTTTATCTTCTTACATTTTCTGGAAAATTCTTTCAGAGTGAAGTTCAATTGATGAACTTCAACATGGTATCAGAGCAGATTTTAGCTCGATTCTGATCTAATTTCCGCATTTTCTTCAATTTTCTGAAGCTTAATCGTCTCATATTTTGTTGTTCTTCAGTTCGATCGAAATTCAACAATGGCACCTCGAAATTCTGCGAGTAATTCTGGAAATTCTAATTCCGATCCAAATACAGAGGTTGATCCAACACAGAATCCAAATTATGTGTACTTTCTGAGTAATTCTGATCTAGCTACATCAAAATTGGTGAATATAGTATTTGATGGAACAAGCTTCAATGACTGGAAACGTTCTATGACAATTGCATTAGCAGCAAGAAACAAATCGTGTTTTGTTGATGGAAGTTTGAATCAACCTTCAAACAATTCACCAAATCTCAGAATCTGGAATAGATGTAATAATTTGGTGATTTCCTTGATCTTAAATTCTCTTGAACCTTCAATTGCTCGAAGTGTTCTTTACTTGAAGACAGCTAGATCAATTTGGCTGGATCTGGAAGAAAGGTTTAGTCAATCTTCTGGACCTCAGTTATTTTCGGTGCAACAACAATTAGCAGACATATCTCAAGGAGAATCTGAAGGTATTTCTGAATTTTATACTCGAATTAAGCAATTATGGGATCAGTTGGATGGATTGGATCCTTTACCTGCCTGTGTTTGTACTGGTTGTAACTGCAATCTAACACAGCAGCTGTTTAAGTCTAAGCAAAGTCAGAGGTTAATTCATTTTTTTATGAAGGTGCATGATAAATTTTCTCATACTAAGAGCACTATTTTGATGATGAATCCTCTACCAACTGTTACCAAGGCATATAGTTTGTTGCTTCAAGAGCAAACTCATATGAATCTGTACAACATTAAGAATCAGCAGAATGTAGAATCTGCAGCATTCTATGCTAAGAAGTTCAATGATACCAGAACTCAATTCAGCAACAACAGAACCTATAATTCTGCTGGAGGTGCAGGACAAATGTTTGAAACTAATTCTGCAGGCTCGAGTACAAGAAATTTTGTTTACACCAGAAACAACTTGTACTGTGATCATTGCAAAATGAGAAATCACACAAGAGATAAATGTTTCAAGCTTCATGGCTACTGTAGACACCTAAAAATGTCTCCCCAAAACCAAACCCGATGATGAACAACCTTTCACCGCCACTATTGGTCGGGTTTAGTATTTAATCCCGAGAGTGCTTAGAAATCGTATTTTATTAAATTCATATTTTTGAACAGTCCATGGATTAGTCTTGATGTTTGGTAAAAGCATAGTTTTAATTTCAGCCCAAACTTATTAATTAATTTTTAGCCCAAGCCTTTTTTATTTTATTGTTTTATTATTTATTTTTGGCCCAAACCCTTTATTTATTTTAATTTAATTATTTTCTTATTTTAGCCCGAATAATAAAAAGTCAGAAAAGGCCCGAAATCATCAATCGGCACTTAAAATGCCGAAGGAAATTAGGGTTAAAAATGTATTTAGACGGAAAAACAAGCTGGAATTTCCCGCGCCACAGCAGGTACCTACCATGTCACGGGAATCCTTCCCGTCTGACGGTGGGATTTCCCGTGACATGGGAGGTCTGCCGTGCCACGGGACATTCCGTGTCTTTTCCGCGTAAACCCTTAACGCGTTTTTTATCCCGTTTTCTGAAAATTTCCCGCGTCACACCAAAAATGTACCGTGTCACGGGAAAGTGTACCGTCTGACGGTGGAGCTTCCCGTGTCACGGTACAGTTTGACCGTGTCACGGGATACTTTTTTAGGGGTTTTATCATTTTAGGGTTCCGTGTGCTCCCTCAGCACATTTTCCCTATAAATACCCCCTCATTTCTGATGAACGGGGCACCGAGTAATTCGATTATTTTATTTTCTCTCTTCTATGCTTTAGCCTAAACACTATCCTACCCTTTTCTACTTCAAAATTCCTTCTTCAAGTACTCAAAGGAGTCCATACTTTACTCGTGGTTTTATCCTTAAGCCAAGGCGTGAAAGGTAGAATTGTTTGAGGGTTTGGCCCCAAAATCAACTTTACTTTATTTAATTTAATTTAATCATCGTTTTATTATTTCCTTGAAGTTACTAACTCGTTTATTATTTTGTAGTTGCAAACAAACAGAATCAAAGTAAGGATCATGCTCCTTTTATTTTTATTATTTTTCTAACGATTTTATGTTGTTGGAATTGTGATTAATTTTGTTTTACTATTAATGTTATTCTATTATTGATCACCGTATTGCATGATTAAAGGGAATATGTAATTGAAAATCACGCCTAATAAAATAATTTGGACAATCGGTTTAGGATCCTTATAATCTTATTATTAATTGAAGTGATCACAAATATTTTAGAATTATGTGTGCATTAATGTTCCACCAATTTAGTTAAATAATAGTTTGGAGCGAATTGAATTATTGTTTGTATGCCTTTGAGATCACAGGAATTCTTTTCACTATAAGAATCGAGTAGAGGCCAATACGGGCAAATGTGACTCCATGACTCACTTCGTACCATCATCCCCGATCCTCCTTTCGTGGTTCCGAACCATATGGAGTTAGTAATCTCATGGATTATGAATGGGGTGTAACCTTCACGGGTCAATCGCTGTTGCCTTCTTTGTCCCTTATTCGTGGTTGCCTTTTATGATCCGTGAACGGTTTACAAGTTCCTTAAAAACTTGTTGGCGGCTCCCTACTTTCCTTGTCCCTAATCGTATTATGTCAATTCCTACTTCCTATGAGTGCCAAGCATATTCACCACATGCTTTTTAACGTAGGCGCACTTCGAACGACGCCTACAATTTGGCGACTCCACTGGGGAGGATTCTTAATTATTTATCGATTTGAGTGATCGGTATTTAATTAAGATGAGTGGATGAGACTTGAAAGATTCTTGAAAAAATATTCCTGTGATTAATTTGGCATTTTTGCATCTGCATAGACGTTTTAACGTCGCATTCAGGTCTGTCCCGTAGGAAAAATTGGATAACTTGGTTGCGCGCGAAGGAAAACAGGGCACCAGTCAGATCTTCTGACTGCCGTGCCACGGTAGAATCTGCCGTGTCACGGTATAGTGCACTGTCTGACGGTGCACAGTACCGTGACACGGGAATTTTTGCCGTGTCACGGCAGTCCTAAAATCAGTTCGGTGGCTTATTTTCTTTCCTCACAGTCGACTTCCTTCGATTTTTCTGAAGAAACGTATGTGTTCTACATGCGTCTTAGCCCCTGGGGATTTAAGCTCTATCGACCCAAAAACGCTCATGGTAATAAGGGTTCATCCGAGTTATTAAATCCACCCAAACCATGGAGTCGAGTTCGATTTCATCACGAACTCGCGGAGCCGCCCGTTGGCATACACCCTCAAGGGAGGCTGCCTTGCTAACGCGTCCAAAATCTTAACCATGGTACCCTTTTGACACCCACACTAGTAGAAAAATGGTAATAGGCACCCCCTATATGGCACCGGTTCAGACCAAATCGGTGCCAAAAACCGGTCCAAAAATGGGCGGGATTTTAGAAGAAGAGAAAAGACACCGGTTTGGCCTGAACAGGTGCCTAAAATTAATAAAGGCACTGGTTTGAACCGGTGCCAATTGAACCGGACCCAATTCAAAAAAAAAAATTCGCGGCTTACTTCTCTTCTCCTTCCTCTCTTTCTCTTTCATTCCTTCATTAGAGCTGGGTTTCGAAAACCGGCCTCCTTCAATCCTTCCTCTCCCTCCCTCCACCACAGCCGTCACCTTCACCGGCGGCCACCAGGGGTTTCGAAAACCGGCCGCCTTCAATCCTTCCTCTCTCTGTTTTCCCTTTCTTTCTCTTTCGAAAACCACCTACATAGTTCGAAAAATTCCTTCCACCACCCTGAGGTTGCTCTACCACCTAGCCGCGCCACCCTCCTGAGGCTCCTCCACCACCGAGCCGCGCCACCAGCCTGAGTGTCCTCCTCCATTTGTCGTGAGTGCCAGCTAGCTGCTGCCCTAATTTTCTCCTCCACCACCGAGCCGCGCCACCGGCCTGAGGGTCACCACCGAGTCTCCTCCTAGCTGCTGCCCTAATTGTCTCAAGGTTTCTTTTTAATTTTTTTTTTTACATTATTTTCCAATTATATAATTATATATATATTAATTTGTTTTGCATTTTGAACCATTGTTGGTAAATTAAAATTTAGGTTTGAATATAATTTTTCTCAACTTTAGGTTTGAATATAATTGGGAAATTGTGAAAATATTAGAGATTAGTTACCTTGTTACTCAATTAGTTGGATTTTATTATGTTTTAATGGTTAATTTAATGTGTTTTTGTGGATAATTTTGAAATAATTATAGAATATATATTAACCTTGGTACTTAAATAGGTGAAATTTGGTATTTTACTTTTAATGGTTAATTTGAAGTTGTTTTGATGGATTATTTTGAATAAGTTAGAGATTATTTAACTTTGTTATTAAATTAGTTGAATTTTGGAATGTTTAAACGGTTAACATTAAGTTGTTTTGATGGGTATATTTGAATTAATTTGAGATTAGTAACCTTGCTTGTTACTAAAGTAGATGAATTTTGGAATGGGTGAATGGTTACTTTTAAGTTGTTTTGATGGGTAATTTTGAAAAAATTAGAGATTAGTAACCTTGTTAGTTTAGCAATTGTTAGTTCAATGAATGATGTGTTTTAGCTTATAAATAAATGAGTGAATTGACATGTTAGTTTAGCAATTGTTAGTTCAATGAATGATGTGTTTTTTTTAACAGATTTGTGAATTGAAGCAAGAGTTTAATTAGCTTGAGGACTACATATTGAGCTCAAGTGGGTAGTTGCTATATTGGTATGACTACTAAACTTTACTTAGATATATTTCTTTCTATTCATCCATTTAATAAAAGTTTATTCATGAAATTGCAACTTGTGTATTGTTTAATTGCAAATAAATACAACAACATATAGAATACTTGAATTGCATCATCATATGCCTAGATACCCGTTCAAGGCTTTCTCATTAGGAGAAAGTCTTGAATAGTCCCCGGTTGGGACTGTTCTTGAATGTGTACTCTCACTTAGGTGGTGAATGTATGTTTTATTTTCGATTTGAGGGATATGACATCAATGGGTACACTTTTTGGACCGAGGCTCGTGATTTGAAATCTTCCTCCACCCAAAACAGTGGTGTAACTCTTGTGGCATCGTCAAGGGAGTTTGCAAGTTCTTAGGATAAATCACCTGTCGATGCAGAGTTTTCATACTATGGTCGAATTCAAGAAATATGGGAGCTTGATTATTGTGACTTCACGGTTGCTCTTTTCAAGTGTAAGTGGGTTGATAATATCAGGAGAAACGTCAAACATGAGGACTTTACTCTTGTAGATCTTGGCCACTTGAATGATAGTGCGGAACCATTTATCCTTGCATCTCAAGCTAAGCAAGTGTTCTACGTAACTGACCCAATGGATTCAAAATGGTCTATAGTGCTAGCTGGCAAAAGAAGAATCCTAGGCATTGGAGATGTTGAGGATGAGGAAGAATATGATGCGTTTGATGATTCAACACCTTTCACTGTTCCTAGACCTGGAGTACTAAATGACATAGACAACGAAGCAGGTTATATGCGATCAGACCACAACGAAGGAATTTCAGAATGAGGTAGTTTGATTAAAAGTTAGTAATGGTTTCATTGCAAATATAGTTTAGTTATCATGTATATAGGAGCATAAGTAGGCGAAAATGATATATTTGTAGTTTGAAATTGCCTAAGTGTACTCATTATCATGCATATACAAGGTTATAGGACCATAAGTAGGTGAAACTGGCATAAATAGCTTCTACTTAACCCAACTCCTTTGTTTTGTGTATGAACTAACATTTATTCATTCTAACAACCTATTTTCCATATGTAGATTGAAATTGGCATTTTGTACTCATTATCATGCATATACAAGGTTATAAGACCATAATAAGTAGGTGAAAATGGCTAAAATAGCTTCTACAGCCATGGCAGCCGCCTTTCGAGGCAGCAGCAGCCCAGGCAGGCTGCTGCCAAGG